ACTAACTCTGTCTGTCTCTGTCTCTCTCTTTCCCTCATGTGAATAATTTACTTATGTTCTTGGTACGATGGGCGTGGTCAATTTGGCAGCACATACATTTTAAAATAATTTTTTCCTTTATAATTTATTAATAAACTAATTGTGTATATGAAATAATTACTCAAAGTCTAATTTGTTTTCAATAGTTTTATAATAAGGTAAATAAGAACAAGTTTGTTCATGTTTATTGTCTAGCCATAGTCTCCTTAGTGTATTATTGGTCCTGAGAGATTCCATCAGTACCAGTACTCCATCAGTATCAATGTTAGTACGTTTGAGATAAAGGTAAGATAGTGTGTGGTTGTAGAGTAAAAGTTCAGCTAGTGACTGAGCACTGGTTGAAGTGATGTCAGGATTGTCATGAAGAAATAAGGTAGTAATTGTTTTATTATTAATTAATGATTGTGTTAGTGCAATGACTCCATCATCATTGATGGAATCACTACTGATCACTAGTGCCTTTAATGAAGTATTGTTTGTTATTGTGTGAGACAGTGAGTGGATGACATCTTTTGTTATTTTAGTGTAATATATACTAACCTCCTTTATTGTTCTTATGTCTAGTACTTGAGACATCATCAAGTATACAATATCAGGTGATGAGTGATAGAGGACAATGTCCTGATGACTGTCCGTTAATTGACTGATCACTTCCTGACATTGACCTGCTGATGGTTTAATGAGGAATATTCTATCACTGCCCCACCTCACCTCTCCAGTCTCTTCTCCTAATAATAAACACAGTCAGTCAGTTAATGTGTGTATATTATTATTTTAATACAGTATAATAGGTAAAATGATAATATTATATTATTTTATTAATGATGTTTGTTTGTGTGTTGTTCCAGGTGATGCTGGTTTTTGTACCAGTAAGTCATTACAGCTGCTAGGATGGAATGGGTGTGGTCTATCTTTTATTATGTGACAGGAAACAAAAATCAATTGTACGTTTTATTAATGTATTGTAATGAATAATTATTTCCCTTTCTCTCCCTTCATCACTCTGTCTCTCACTCTCCCTCCGGCTTTACTTCCCTCCATCTCTTTCTCTCCCTTCCCCTTTCTCTCTCTTCCTTCTTCCCCTCTCTCTCCAGAGGCGTATTTATGGGGGGGCTGAGGGGGCTTGAGCACCCCCCTCAGGGCTGGGCTCAGAAAAAATTAATGAAGTCCTGGACTCTTGCATCACTACCAAGCCTCTTAACAAAGTTATCTAGCCCCCTGATCATGATTTCAGCAGTTTCCAGTGCTTTAAGGAGCAATCAGAAGTACCATTAACATAGCAGTATGCTTGAAATGATCTTGGCCCCACCCGTAATTGACGAAAATGCAGGAAAAGGCCGTTTTACTGCCATAAAAGTGGGTGTGGCCAAAATTGCGGTGCGCTTCATGCGCCCTCAGCACTCCCTTCCCCAATTCCTAGATACACCCCTGCTCTCTCCTTCTCTTGTAGGGTGAAGGTCACTGTAGTACTTATAAACTGATTCAACCACATGCAGTTAAGTGTGGACACAATTGAGCTGGTTTCTGAACCACTTCAAGTTGAACTGGCTTGTATGTATAGATGTGACTTAATTTTTGTGATTTTTTGGTAAATTTCAAATATGCAGTTTTTGTGATTTTTGATATTATATTTAAAAATTAATTATTAAACATAAACACTTTTTGAATTTACTATATCAAGAGTAAATTTACCCTTGACTGTATCACATACAAATTGTAGATGATTCAACAATTTTAGAATTGACACAGAATTAACATACAAATTGTAGATACAATTGTAATTGTATCTGGCCTTCACCATTAACAATAATTACAAGCTATAGCATCTTCATTTACTTAGCAAAACCTGATACAAATGGGCAATTTTAAAAAGGAGAACCTCCTGAAGAACTTGATGGCACATGAATTATGAATGTGATTGGTCAATTACAACTAGGCAAAGTATGCAAGCATAATCTACACACTATCAATATAGTCCATTAATTATTTACTGTATCTCTACAGGACACTTTATTAATTAATTACTTGAGGTATTTGATGGTTCTTTAGTTTGATGTGATTTCACAGTTATCATTAGTCTATCCAACTGTTCCTTTATCTC